TTTTGGCATCTTTGGCATTACTCGGGAAGAGGTGCTGTCCCACATACCTTCTTCTAATATTTAGGGGCTATGGGTCAGCTAAAATTTTGAGAAGCAGAACCCCTAGCACGTAAACGGCCACGCCTTTCATGCAAAAAATTTTTTACAGGCTCACCCTCCCACTTTCTCCCCGAATCGAAACAATTGTTGGGACTCCATTGCTCAACATCTATGGCAAAAAATTCCCCAGCATGACGTGACAGCCGATTACCGACTGGGACGCCACAGAGGCGGAATCGTAAATGAGCGACTGGTTACAAATTATCGAACGGCATGCACTTTGGCATAGTGTTCAACAGCAATCAATTACTGCAACCGCCAATAACACTAGGCAGATGGCATTTTCAAGAGTAATGAGGATCAGAATTCAAGGAAACATCATTAAAACTAAAATAAGCTCACTTACAAACTTTTGTCGTGTCTGCCAAGAAGTGGTGAATATTGCGCAGATTTTATGGAAGCCGGTTTGCACACTGGTGATTCGAAAGTCTTCCCAAAGTTCATTAATAAAGAATCAGATGACGACGAACCAGCAGCAGAGCTTTTCTCTCGATTTGCACGCGGTAACTCTATCTGCAAAAGATATATTATGTTCATCTGTTTACTTTGAGAAGTATGAGTCTCACCGCATTGCAAACCTCCGCCTCTAATTCGATCAGATAGTTCAGATAGCCAGGAGATCGAACAAACGCTCGCAGGTACTTCTGGGAATGGTTATAAGAACGAGTTATGCAAGTGCAATACAAATTCACTCTAGACAGCAACAAAAAATTTTTATATTCAATTACAGGCAGAAATGCCTGGATTAGAGATATATATTATATGTTGAAAATGCTGAATAAATGCTCACCTTGACTAGTCGCTGCATACAAGACTGCTTAGCATTTGAAAAAGCTGATCGTAAAGGACGTCCAGAATCGGAACAGATTTCAGACTCCATCACCTGCCTAACATGATCATCGACTTGAAGAGACGAAACTGCTTGCATTGAGAAATATCTGGACGTAAAAAAGACAAATTTGAGAAAGCATTTACCACAGAAATAATTTAACTTACTTATCGTAAATACACATAGCATCCTCAAGTAGTTCTTTATCCGATAAAGTATCATAATTCGTTTCGAATGTAGTACAAGCCAATAAGAACTGTATGCAATTGCGATCATGATCGTTGTCAACAAACTAGAAATCAAAAAGGAAAACGTGATATTTGCTAACAAAAAAATATTTGAGAAGCAAACCTCTAAAAAAGCATTCAATAATGCAGGAACCAATAAGACATCATCCAAACTACATCCTCGAGAGAGAACTTGCAAAAGATATTTCTTGTAATATATACTGTTCATGAAATCTTTCAGATAACTGAAAAGAAGATAAGAGGTAAACGAAGAAAGATTCAATTAGAATTGCACTGACCGACTCACGAATGCATTGCGAACAGACTCTTTTGCCTCATCGAATAAGTCCGGCCCTATACCATCTTCAGAAAGTCTTGCTAAAGTCAGTAATGCGCCTTGGTAGTAAGGAAAAGGACTAAATCAGATTACCCGAGATTCGTTCACATATGCTTTTTGGAAAAGACAAGCTAGTAGCGGATTCTTTATCGATGTATCTGTCGTAGATATTTCGTGCGTCCAACAGCACCACTAAAAAAATCACTATAAGCGATTTATCGGTGTGAAACTTGAATTTGACAAGTATAGCAGAAACGATAATATTCATGCAAGCACTGCATAAACTAACGCCTCTGTCAAAACCATCACAGTAAT